ACTTTATTAGCTACTGTGTACTTACTTTCTTTCCTTATTCACTTGCCGTATTTTTTTTACAGAGGTTGATACACATATTTTTAGAAAGCATGTTTTAAACCGCGCTATGCTATAAACAAAATAGTTCTGAATATTGCATAAGATTAATTCCAGAAGTGAAAGACATTTGATGTCATTGAGGTCTCAATGTTCTGCGCACTGATCACATGCCCACAGCCTTTGATCATCAGCGATCACTGAAATTTCAAATGTTCATGAGATTTCAAATATAACTTGATCTGTATTTGCTCCTGATGCTTCTTCCCTGCTTTTTTCTTCTAAAGCAAGCCTGCAGCTGTAGGAAAGTCATCACAACTCTCACACGTCCTCATTTGTTTCTTGTAACTAAGAGGAAAGTCATGTCTTATTCTGTCCCTTCGGTATATGTGCAATAGTTTGCCATCCTTTCTGTCCTTCGTGGCTACTCACTGTGCAATGTTTGATTTAAAAGAACAGCAAAATGGATGGATCCTACAAGTTTTTATATTTAGATCAATTCATTAACAAGTATTGTCTCTTATCATCAGCTTATTTCTTCTCTTTACAAATTTTCCTTCAACACGATCAAGTTTGCATATTACTTTTACTTGAACATGGTATCTAGTTAAAAATCCCTTTCAAATAAAGGAAATAAAAGACATAATAAGAAAGAAGGTGACACCAGCTCTTTTCTTAACTGTTGCTTCTCGACTTTCTAAAGACCGTTCTGCAAAGTTGCTGGAATGTTTGTTGGATTGTACTGAAACTATTTTAAACGAAAACATTGATGGAATCAGAGGACACCGAGAGATGGAACCTGATCCGCCTGCAGAAAGCTTATCTTGCTTCCTTGTGTGAATTTGGTTTTCGGTGATGCTTTTTGCCCAAGGGCATGCACACCATGTAGACCTAGCTGGTTCCTCTGCACCTGGGTACCTGTGTGGGATGTGCTCCATCCCGTGAAATATCAGCTATGCAAAGGCTGACCCTTGCAGCTCTGATACAGCTTCCAGGTCAAGAACGGTTTGGCAAGCAGTGCTTACTAAATACTCATAAAACCTCCTGCAGCTCATTGAATGTGAGTCCATTTGTCTTAGGCAATTTATAGTCGTCGTGTTGCAGCATTGTGTTATTCAGGTCATATAGGTAATTTTACTAAGCTAAGTAAACTAATCCCAAGTATTTATATAATCATTACAGCATGAAACCAGCCAATGGATTATCACATTGCTGTCTATGTTAGCACGTGTGTGCTAACACATGTTAGCATGTGTGTGGGATCTGTGATTTGAACTGTGTTTTATGCAATGTAGCTTGAAAAACACACACTTGGAGACTGAGCTTTCGCGATCCTCACTCAGAAGTTCTGAAAGGACATTTGTGCTGGGACTGAAAGGTTTTATTAGAAGTTGATTTCTTAGCTTTTTAGGAAGATGGCAAATTAGTGAAAGGTCAAATTCTGCCATTCCAAATTCTGCCTTTGCAACCTGTGAGCACAGTACGTGCTTGTACCATGGAGGAGTTAGTCTTGTGCCGAGGTGTCTCCCTCGGGCGCGTGGAGACTTTGCGTGCAGGCTAGGACGCTGCTTGCAAAATCCAGCCGCTGGGCCAAAACACTGCTCTGAACCTGCAAAATGGTGCTGATAAAGCTCAATTCTGATAGCAAAATGAGCGATATGCAGTCCTGTATGAAACGCTCTTGTTAAAAACAGACCTCACCAAGAGTCCGTCTGCTGAGAATTGTGAAATGCTGGAAGGAGACGCCCTCTGCAGACCACTCACAGTTTTACCTGCACCTGGAAGTCCTCCTCGGCAAAGCACTTACCATGTTCTGGAAAGGTTTGGCACACTAGCCCTGAAAAAAGCAGTTTATTTTGCTAACTTGCATGAGAAGTGTTTTCAGGGATCCTTCTTGCCCACTATGAGGCACGCCATGTAAATCTAGCTCCTCCTGGTGAGATGACCTTTTGGGGATGTACCCCATCCCAAGCGTACCTGTCATGCAGTGAATGCCGAGATCTGCGCTTCTCACGAGTGAGCCTCCAAATCAGGAAAAGCAATGCAAAAGCACAACGAAGTCAGAAGGAAAGCACTAGAATATGTCACGTGTGTTGCAAGGAAATTATGCCAGGCAAAATTTCGCATGATTAGACAAATTAAATGCATCTAGAATGTTAAATCTTTATTGAAAGCTAAGCCTAAAAATACTTTATTGGACAGTGCTGGGACTCGTGATTTATGTGAGGCATTGGGTAATAAATCTGTCTGCATCTAAATTCTTCCCTTAAAATCAGTGCTTCTGGCAACTGCTACATACCCCTTCTACTGAAATGATACCAGCACAACGTTAGTGTGTTTATTAATATGTATAACAATAGAAAATGTAATCGGGACCTTGATAATTGTTTTGAATCTGCCTTGTTTTATACAGCAAGCAACTTCCTGTAACTGTTTTACACTGCTCTTTTGTTCTTTATTTTCTTGATGCATCTGAATACCAAGTGATCATAAGCATAGGGTTCTACCCGATTTTCCGAAAGAGTTCTCAAAAGCCCTCCTTTCTCACCTCGGTTTTTCTGTAAATCAATAATGCAAGGTTAAATCAGGCAAACTGCAGTGGGTAGGGTGTGGAGAATGTCTAAAATAACATAACATCTACAATCTTTGTTTAGACATTTGTCTAGGCAAATTTCTTGAAATTTTTAGTCTTAAAAGTCAAGTCACCCCAGGAAGCACATCCAGGTTTGATAGAGGGCTTAGAAATCATGGATATGATCTCATTTAATTCTGTAAGGAGAGGTGAGTAAATTCAATGCATAAAGACTTATACTGAGATCATGTACTAGCAGTTATCTGTGACACTTATCTGTCTGCTTGCCTATCTGTTATGAACTTGGTATCAGTCAGTTGATTAAATAATGAACTTATATGAGCTTATATGAACAATGTTAGAGAAGCATGGAATATGCACAGAAGATATTTTAGTAAGGTTAAGTTTTGGGCTCCCTGTGCTCAGCTGTTTTAATTAAAAGCAGATCGAAGTCAACACAGAACTCTCTTGATTGCACACATTTTTTTCAAGTGTTTTTCCAGCACTAAACACATAGAGAAACTGTACTTTTTTACATGAAACTGACAGAAAGAAAACTATTCATAATTCCCTATATGGAGACAATACTAGTATGGCTTCTAACAACTGTTAATTAAATAGCTTTTTATAATCACTCTTTAAATAACACAGCAGATTGAAAAGGCTTTTACAAATTGGTTTCATTTTAAGTAGATAAAACATTGGAGGATATTCCAGAGCAATTTCCTCCATGCAAGAAAGGATTAAATATACATTTGCAATAATGGAGATTAATGTTTCCCACAGGAAATCAGTATTATTGGAAATGCAGACATGAACTGGGAGGCTAAAATGATAAAACTGCAGATTTTTCTTCATTTGCCTGCTACCAAAAACCAGTCTATCCTACTCTCTCATTGCTGGCATCAGCTCCAGGACTGAAGCAAGGATATAGTGAGCGCCAGTATGTGAAGATGGAAAGTGTTTTAAGAGTTTACTTAAGCCAATGTTATGTACATATTTTTTATTTAAGATTTCTACAGTTGGAGTTCTGCATCTAGATTATGTCACTAACTCTGTTATTAATGCAAAGATAAATACCTAGAAAAGTTACTGGTATGGTAACAAAACTTTACTCAGGATCTATCTTTTTATCAGTGAGAACTTGGTCTTGGTCCACTATTCCTTCTATCTAGAATGCAACAGAAGGAAGAAGAAGGGGTATTTTAGGTAACTTTAGATAACTTATAGAACATAAAGACCCTAGAATGTGTCAGATCTACATAATAAGTTAAATTAACATTCATTTTAAAAACTTTTCAGAATGTTGTGTGAAAGACATTTTGAAAAATATATATTCATTTTTTTCATGAAAAAAGCATATAAAATTTCTTAACAGTGAGGGTGACGGAGCACGGGAACAGGCTGCCCAGAGAGGTTGTGGAGTCTCCTTCTCTGGAGATCTTCAAAACCCGCTCGGATGCAGTCCTGTGCCACGTGCTCTAGGTGACCCTGCGTGTGCAGGGGGGTTGGACTAGATGATCTCTAGAGGTCCCTTCCAACCTTAAGCATTCTATGATCTATGGCGTTTAATTTGCATTTAGAGAGTAGAGACAGTAAACAAACCCATGACTATTTTTTGCTACCACTACCGCAGGATGATTTCAGCTGTGGAAGTGGACTAGGTCATGAATGAGCACGATACGTAAAGGCAGAATGCTAAACAAACCTTAGGGGAAGTTTAAGGGTGGAAAAGCAATGGCATCACATCCAAGCTCCATCCACCACACACAGCTCTGCATCTCATATTAATGCTAAAGCATTCATAGTTAAATAATCTCAAAGTCATCAGATTTCAGTTGACTTCTTAGTCTCCTGAATTTGCACACACCCCTAAACTACCCCAGTTTCTGTCTAAAGATGGTTTCAGCAATTCTAAGTTAGGGGCCAACCAGTGAAGCCAAGGCAGAAGTACATTCAAGCTAGATTGTTGCACAGAAAACACAGCTGCCAAGGAAGAGGAGCGTGGCTCCTGCTGCTGCTTTGCATAATCCCCTTCAGCAATTAGGATCCCAAGCATTTTATCTGGTTTGTTTTCTACTAGCCACTACCTCTAGGGCTATTGGTTATATGCAGTGCATATGAAGACCTCTGGAAAACAACTGTTAAGTATCAATGAAGAAAATGAGATGTTACTCAGCTATGGACATTATACTTCAAAAATTCTCTACAGTTAAGGAAGGATGACTGCTTTCCTCCCTCAGCACATGCATTCCCCTGCATTTACACTAACAAGTGCCACTGGTTACAAAAATAATTGTCATTTTGTGCTGTGTTTTTTTCCAGTGCCTCTATTCCGTCGCCTGGCAAATGTGCCCATGCCACATCTCTGATGTGTGAAGACCTCCAAACTATGAGGTCCCTGGTCAGCAGCTCGCATCTCCAACTAGCTGCCTTTCCTCTGGGAACAGTAGGCTGGATCTTGTGCACTATTTCCATGGGACTTGTGGACTGGAGAGTGTGGCACGTGGACAACACCACTGTTATCTCCTCTGGTGTTGCCTGGGTGGGAATTTGGAAAGTCTGCTTTATCAGTTATCTTTACGTCTCACCTGGCTATGAAGAACAGTTCTGCCATAAATTCAAGGCATTCGACTCCTTCGTCCCGCGTGAAATTTATGCTGCTCAAGGTCTCCTGTTGGTTGCCATGATCTTGGGTTTGGTGGCACTGACTGTCACAGTATTTGCTCTGAGAAATATTTATATGGGAATAGCTGACAAAACTATTGTCCGTTTCTTCCTGGTTGGTGGCTTCTTCTTCATATTTTCTGGTTTGTGTGTCCTGATCCCGGTGAGTTGGAATTTCTATTCTGTAGCACACAACGAGAGCATTGCTTTTCCTCCCTCTTACCACATGCCCTCCAGTCCGGTGTCACAGGAGGTTGGTGCTGCAATTCCTGTCGGGATTATAGCTGTAATCCTGCTGCTGCTAAGTGGGACATTTTCTCTCTCATACATACCTCCTGTAATCTCAAACACTATCACGCAATTCTAACAGGATAAAACCCCAGGCTGTTTCAGAACAATGAGAGCACAGTCGGAATATAATGATGGCACAAGAGATTTTATATTCAAGGAATTATAGGACTTAATTGTTGCATATGGCCAGACCTTCATCTTGGAGATAAATGCTGTTGAGCAGGAACTGTGGTTGAGTTTTATTGCCTATGCTCTTTTATATATGCAATCTTTGATTAATTTATTTTTAATGTAAGATATTTACTGTGTTCAGGTAGCTAGCTCTGAATTAACTCATCTGTGAGAAAAAATGTGAAGTGATGCTTGTTAAATGTGAATTTGTTTCCTTATTGCTAGAATATTTTGTCCATTATTCAATGGAAGCTGTAGCAAAGCATGTTCTGTGACAAGTCAAGACTTTTAATACATATAATTTGAGCGTCATCATGGTTGTGTCAAATGAGTCTTCACTGATTTGGTTTACAAAGATCTTGCCAGTTGCTCTTCTTCCTCGAGGGCACATAAAGAGCTGTTCCTTTCATGCTTCTTTTTTTTTTTTATCAAGTTATTTACATTTCATGTTGCAACATCTTTGCTTGTGGGCAAGGTGTGCTCTTAGTTCCTCCTCACTTACACAGAGTCAGGAAATCTGCAAGCACACTCTTCTTAGTCAGAGACTTCACTGAATCCAAAGGTATTGCGAAAGATGGAGACTTCTTTAACAAGTTGCAACTTCTTTTACAAAGGCTGCTGTCAAAAGCAATACTTTAAGTAATCAGCAATATTCTGTACAACTTTTAGAGCATGATTCATCTAACCTGAAGTAGACATCTGTGTCTAGACTGGTCACATTAGCCTCCCATTATAGACAATGGGGCTAAAGAAGACATTCTAGGACAGCATTTGCCTCTTTCCAGAACAGATACATAGAATGGCTGGAAGAGTACGTGCTCCCCAAGCTTAATTCACTGTGATGACTGTAATAACTACAATTGCTAACTCGGGCATGCACAACCATAACTTCACCTAAGCTAGATATGCTTAGGAGACATTAATACACCACATTAGTGGCATTTTATGTTGCCAATCCTGTAAAAAAAAAAATCCCAAATGTCACCCTAAGGAAAGTTAAAAAAAAATCAAGATGGAGGAATGAGTGCTGAAAAAATTATGATCTATTGAAAGCAGGTTCCACTAAATCTTATTACCATTTCAAAGAATTGCTACAAGAATCCAAGCAATGTAGTTTTGCTGTTTTAATGATCTTTCTTCCATTTTCTAAAATATTAATGGATCCAGATATGCAAGAAAATGTAAAATACCAGCAAGCCTATTCCTATTGCTTTTGACTTTTAATCTTGGTAAGTATTTTTGCTCTCTTTCAGTTTTGGAGCTAGGGAACGGAAGGTAAAGCGACCTTTTGCTAACCTCCCAATCTGCGTTGAAGAGGAAATGTAACTTTCCAGCTCTTCAGGTTTTATCACCTCCACTATCTATTCCTCTTTTCTCCTGGGATCCCAATTAATACTGTCTCTGGCCAGTCCAGATGATTGCTATTACTTGTTCTTTCTGCTGTAGTTTCACCTCACCTGAAGTCATTAGATATATATATAGAGAGAAAGGAATTTATTTCTTTATTAGACTTGATTTTCCTAATATCTTTGTTCTTTATTAGACTTGATTTTCCTAATACCCTACCATCCTTATGAACCTGTTCTCTGTCTTGCCCTTTTTTCTCCCATCCACTGCCAGCACAACTTTTTTTTTTCTACTTCTTCCACAAAGTCTTGACTTTGCTACACAACACATTAATTTTTGGTCTGGTCTTCCAGTCTTCTCTGAAACAGTGGCTTATCTCAACACTTCTAATTTTTCAATTGTAGTTGTTTATGTTTTGGTTGTTTACAAAGCTGCAAGGCACTTTTTAAAGTGGTGTTTAAATTAAGGCTTAACAGCTTTTTTTATCTTCTTTCTAGCTTGACTTCTACAGTGCATCCTATACTATGTTGGTGTGTTGCATTTTTAAATGCTCAAATAAATGGAATAGTTATTTCTTCCTATAGTGCTTACAATAAAATTAGATTTTATTTTATTGTAATTATGTGAAAAAGCTGTATCCATGTGTTTATACCATTGTTTCCCCACACTAATAAAATGCCAATATTTCCTGGTGAAGAATTTGAGATTTAGCAAGTGAGTGATTCTATGACCCATTTGAGTTCATGTATGCTCAGAAATGTCTAAAAACCCAGTTAGTTATATTAGTTATATTCACAAAATAATTGAGTTGAGTATATATTTATTATTCTTGGCTAAAAGAAAAAACAACAGGCAACATCGAGGACATGCCAAGTTTTGGCATTGCTGCCACAACTGTTTCTGTCAGGAATCTGTTCATCTGTCCTGACATGTGACTGTAAGGCAGATTTAGGTTAGATGTTAGGAAAATTCTCTAGCTAAACACTGGAATGGATTAGCTAAGGGGATGTGTGTTCTTTAAAAAACACATTTTATTAAAAGTAAGTTTAGACATATATTGCCATTGATAACATAGGTATAAGTCATCCTGTCTCAGATCAGAGGAATGATCTAGATGGAAGTTTTGAGGTCCTTTCTGATGGCATTTTCTTGGTTTCCAATATATCAGTCTATAAATTGTTATGTGATCCAGATCATATGCTGATACATGTTAAAATGTAATCTATGATCAAATCCCAAGGTATATTAAGACTCCAAGTCCTTCTCTGAAGAAAACATAGAGAAAAAAAAATCTTAGCTCAAAGCAAGTGAGAGGTAAAACTTCCACTGATTTCAACTGTCTACTCTTGACCCCTCAAGACCGTGTGATTTGTTAAATTTTAGGAAATGCCTGTGTTCATTAAGACTTTGGTATTGTAGGAAAGCCAAGCACCTTTGCTTTTACTTCCCCAGTGAGGAAGCAGAGTCTCTTTGTGCATATTTTCTTATGGTCATATTTTCAGAATTTAATAAGTTGCTACCTTCTGGTACTTCAGTGTGTTACCATTTCACATGTGCTTTTAAAACTAATTTTAGGGTTGTCTGCAAAACCATACAATTGAAATCATTTGCATTTGTAGCTCAAAAATGCAAAACTCTCCTGAATGATTATTTTCAACTTTTAGCTTCTCAAAGTAATCTTTAGGGAGCTACCCTATAGCCTGGCCCCACTATTATTTATAGCAGTACAACTGAGGAGAGGCAGCAAACGGCAGCACGAAGACAGGGATGAGTGGTCAGGGCCTTGAGGTAGAAAGATAAGGGGTGAAAGCTTCTTAAGGCAATTTCACCACTGAAGAGATTATATCGCGAACCTCCATCTTCATCTTCGGAGCAGATTCGGACCTGCTGCCTTCCCAGGGACAGCACTACTGGCTCTGTGGGTCCCACCCTGTCTAGGAATGTCTCCGTGCTGGCCTCAGCCTACGTATGAACCAGTCTGGCAGTTTTTTTGAGCTGACAATAAACAAGCATCTTGTGATTAGCTCACATGTCTGAATTCACTGCTGGAGGAATGATCTCAATGCCAAGACCCTCTCTGCCTCTCGGTCTGCTGGATATTGAGGCATAATGATAAGACATCCATCTCTCCTACCTGCATAATATGCCTCACTGGATCAATGTATTACATGGTGCACTTTATTAACCTTGTTTATTTGTGCCCATCTACCTCATTTGTCTATTTATGACCCTAGACCAAAATATGTATGAAAATATACTGACTAAGAAATGCTCATATGTGAATGCTCAATGCTCAGATAGTGAATGAAGCTAAAAAAAAACCCTAATAGCACATCAGGGCAATAGTATAAGACCTACTGAGATTTTTGTTCAAGCTGGAAATGCAATTCACACCAATATTCTTTTACATCAATGGAAAAGATTTGGAAACATTGTACTGAAAAGTAAGTCATCCAAATTATTTGGGCTAGGCCAGTAAATAAATTCTTTATTCAAGTCAGCAGTTTTACATGAAGACTATCTTAATTGCTGATGGTGAGTTCTTTAGCTTCTTTAGAGCTAAAGTTTAAAGAAGCTAAAGATGTTAGCTTCTTTAAAACAATATGAGTCTGAGAAAGAAATGTCTTTGTTGTCACATGCTTTATGGTATATTACAACGATGAAAGTGAGGTTGCTTTCAAGAGAAAGCTAATTTTAGATCTTGGGCCATTTTTCCCTTAGAATGGAAAAACTGACATGTCACAGGCAATTTCCTGCTCTTTTAGTCATTAAAATACTTCAGGACAAAGAGTTTTTGCTTAAAAAATCTAAGTCTATCTGGCACAGTGTTTAACAGCAAATTGTTTTCTTAAAATAGGAAACCAATGTACATTAAATTAAAGGTTCCCAGATGAGACATGTTATCTGTGAAAATATACCTTTTTCAAAACTGCGCTGAAATTCCTTTCATTCTTGTTAACCTCTGTACTGTCAGGTCCAATATTAGCTCATAAAAAGATTTTTCAACCAAAGTATTCTCCTGTTGCTGCTTAAATAATTAACTCTATTTCCCTCCCACAAGAAAAAGGAGATCGTTCCATAATGAGCATGCTAGTTTGGAGCTCATCAGCTCTCAGTTATTGCACCAAAACGAACTATATGCCAATCAAAAAAATCTAAGGGATTCTCAGAATTATAAAGCCAATAAACATCGCCTCATAATTTGGAATGGAGTGCAGTATGCTGTATTACAATCCAGTTTACTGAAAGTCACGTTACTCCCTTTCTCCTGGGATACATTTGGAAAAGCCTAATAGAAGGTTAATTCCCAGAATGATATTTTGAAGAGGCATGCAAATCCTGAGTGGAGATAAACCAAGCACCATCTGAAATTATGGCACTTGCAAACTGCTTCTCAGCATCTGAATGTACAAGCATCTGAATTGTGCCCTTTATGGCACAAATAAGTACCTGTAAAATAGATAGATCTTGTTTTGAATTAACACTGCCAAAATATTACCACGTGCCTGAGGTCAACTAAAGGGAACAAGTTGTATACACCAGCCAGACCTGTCCCAT